GGTAGTTTGCTTGGATTATACTTCGACCATGAAGATGGAAGCAGTGTGTTGTTGCGAAATATTGGTAAATTTTCACCACCTTCTTCCTCGCTTAGATCCACTTATTCCCTCAGCTGTCTGTTCTCGAACATAATTCCATGGGGTAGAGCCCTTCTAGAGGAGTCATAACTCGCTCAGATACTCAGAAATTTCCTCAACACTTTCTGGAACCTGAAGGTTCAATGTCGTGTTCACAAAATCCTACCACTAGTCCCTGTCCGGAGCCAGGTCAATGCAGTCCGTATAACCCAAACCGATTTCTCTAAGACCCATTTTAATATTATTCTCTCACCTTCGTTTAGGTCTTCCTAATGGTCTTTTTCGTTCTAGTTTTCCTACCCAAACCCTACGTGAATTCCTCTTCTTGCCCATGCGTGCTATATTCCCTGCCTATTGCATCCTCCTTGATTTGTTCATCTGAATTATACGTATTTGCCTAGGAGTAAAGTTATGAAGCTCTTCATTGTGCATTTTTCTCCAGCTATGTATCGTTTCGTCTCTGTTGAGTCCAAATATTCCTCTCAGCGGCCGTTTCTCAACTCCTCCCAGTCCATATTGGGCCCTTTAATGACATAATTTAGGTTTTACACTCACAAAAACTACACGCAAAATTATAGTTTTGTGTATTTCAATTTTTACGTTTCTATACATCAGACGAATATACCAAATATTGTGACCTGAATGAGAGGAAGCATTACCTGAATTTAACCTGTTCCTAATTTCATAATAAGACAATTTTTTATCTATCACTGTCTTTCCCAAATACTCTTTGGCACATTATAAGTGTGTTTAGTATCTATTCTTCTCACACGTATCCAGATTATGTTTTTTTTTTGCCTTATAGTACGGGGCCAAGTATCAAAACTGTATAAAATATATGAAGATATTTTATTGCATATTTTAATATTTATGTTTCTAAATAACAGAGATAAAGGTAGCATATTCTGATCTCACTGGTACGAGGAATTCTCCGAATTAAACTTACCCACTTTCTTTTCGTGAAGGTAATTTTTTATTTGTTTCTCTCATTTACAATCAATTAAAGTTTTCTGTTTTTTCAAAAGATTTTTAGCTACATATTCCTAGTCTATTCCCGTCTAAGAAAAATATTTTTCTTAACTGAAATATATATCACAGGATATGTGACACGATGAAATCATTGAGGTTTAATTTATTTTAATAATTACAGTATAATGATGTTAAATAAAACCCTAGATTTTACAAGATCCTATTAAAAACTTGCGTAAAATAGGCAGATGTCTAAGCAAATTCCGTTTTAGTGTCTATATACAGATTGGATATGTGGGTTTGAGGAAAGCAAAGAAGTAAGAACATCGAAGATATCCCATCATTAACGTTTGTTTGGTTTCACAATTGCCAATTAAAGGAAAAAGAAATGTCTTCGCTACTGAAGTGTTTCTATGCACAAATAAGCGGAGATTCGAAAAGGTCTCTTGTCAGAATATCAGCTGTTACCGCAAGTTGGCCTGAAAAGTTTCTAATTGAACTTTGGGTCATATATATATATGACTCATTTCAGCTCTTCCGGGAAAGATATGCAATAGTAAACTGAAACAGGCTAACACAGGTACGCGCGTAGGTTAACAAAGATTTTATACATACAATTAGAAAGACTGATGATTTTAAATTTTAAACTACGGGCAGTGTAGCAGCTACGTAAGAATACACACCTGATGATGACCATTTAGGCCGAAACATGTAGTGTGGAGGAGGGAAAGAAGAAAGAACTGCAATTAAATTGTTGCACTTAAGACGGAGTTTGTCTCATATATATTGTGTGAGTGTAACAGGATGCTCAAATATAATATTGTAACACAGGAACCTTTTAAAACACACTAACTCACAGTTCAATAATTTACATCATTATCAACACAGGATAATGACAATTACATTGACGAGAGCGCGTTTGCAGCTGCTTTATATAAGGACGATTTGTTACAACTCCATGGTGTAAGAACTGACTTATACTCTAAAAGTAACCCGTTTTAGCCTACTTTCCTTATTTCGAAAAAAGTAGCAGTAAACTTATGGGATCACAGTGCAGTCTGTGAATTCCCTTACCCCATCAATATTTGAATTCCTAAACCAGTCTTTATGAAACTTGATATGAATATCATGACATCTAATCACATCTCAACGGCGTGCTCTGCCCTATCACTCTGTGTCTTAATGTGAATGCCTCTCTCATCGCTAAGCAACGGCTCTGTAGAAAAATTCCACTATCCTTGTTACAGAACGGCTAGATAAAAACGTTACCAAGGCAACGATTACACACGCAACAATAGAAGAATTGTTGGACGCCTCATTTTCTCTACGGCCCGTGTCATATTAAGGAAAATAGTTGATTAGTTCTTCCCAGAAGGTCTTGCCTTTAAAACCCAGCTTCAAAACACGATCCTGGATTTTCATGGAGAAGTCTCTTAAGCAAATCAATATAAGTCTCCTTGCTCCACCACTTACTGTTTTGCACTCAGAAATAATCTCTTCATTCCATAGTTGATGTAGGACTTTCACTGCTGATGAAATATAAATTAGAAATCTCGGACATGAGTGTTTTCTACAGCACTACGTAAATCTTACAGGTAGTAGAACATAAAGTTGTGCTAGAAACCACGGCACAACCCACAAATGGACCTAAACCGCTAAACGATAAATTTTAATCAAACAACACATCAGCTGATGTCCAGCACCTCAATAGGCAATGGAATAACATTAAAAATTATGCAACAGGAATTTATCAGCAAGCAAAGTGATACTATCACGTGTATTAGTGACTATAGACGGGGTTTTGTATTGGATGATTGGATTTATTGACACCTTCAGAATTCCCCTCTCTGCTTTCTTCTAGCTAGTAACTTGCTTAGCATATATCATCGACCATATAGACGGAGACAGTACCTTGTTCTTAAACATCTACCGGACTGTACGGCGTCACGCCTCACACTATACCACTCTGAGAAAATCAGATCCAGCACACATGGGTATAGTGTCCTGAATAAACGGTTGGTGTACCTGTGTGGAAATGTTTTTTGTGTGCGATATCGGAAGCTGTGACATGGAAGTCACAAATCTGTGAGTGAACTTCCTTAACAGAAGTGGGAAACATTTTCACTTGATGTAGCGTACCGCAAAGAGATAGACATTTCCGTTGGGAATAGTGTAATTATCTAATTCTGTCAGTTTTTCTCTACTTTGAACGCGAAACTGTTACTGGAAGTATTACTAGATCTGGCAACCACTATCAAGGGAATTGAAAACGTTCTTGTAGAAGCTGGAGTTCTACGCAGTAAGGAACTAAGCCACTAAAACATAATCTCTGACGTAAGAGAATCACGCAGTGGCCACAGCCATTACAGGCCAAAATGTCGCCCTCAAATATAATCAAAATGGTGACAAGGAACCATACAAAAACTGTATATATTTCTATCAGTTATACTTTGGGAGCAACTTGAAAGTATTACAGTGACTAAAGACGGGGTTTGGATTGGTAATTGGATTTATTAACAACCTACAGATAGTAACTACAATTAATTATTACATTATTGTTGCTTTAAACATTTTACAATCACTCCACACTAATCTCTTCGGTCTATCTGCACTATTTTTCACGGATTTATAGCGCTGAAACTATTGAAATCTCACTGAATTACATATTGAAAATATTACACATAAATAAATCTTCAAATCACATGTTAAATCTTCACATGCTGACTTCTTGTACACTTCTGTGCTCCTAGTTCCAGTTCGCTCTGAACCTACAGCACATGGCTCTCGTTATATAGTTGCGGAACGGACATGGTCCTGCAGTAAACACATCACGTGATTGCTATTCAGCCAGCCTATTGGCGTATTGGCCAGGATATAGAAGAAACACATGCAACGTGACCACTATCCGCTGTTGTGGCGTCACCGCGGACACGGAAACACAGCCTCCTCTATTGTTGCGTAACCTAGCAACGGACTCTTTACCAAGAATCTGTCTTCACAGGAACTTGTTTACCAACACGTTGCCTAGCAAGGGGTGTACATGTAACAGTATGTAGGATTAAATTTCTAATTTCGATGGTTGTAAAGAGTCCTGTCTTCTGGGAAATAAGCGAACTACACTGCCTTATATTCCAGAAGAGACACAAATTTTCAATTTCAAAGTAATTTCTTCGTTTTTAAATTTTTGTGATTTTAAATGTGCTCCTTATACAAATTTCATAAAAGAAATGTTTGATAAGAGGGTTCCTACGTAAGTTGTACCTCCAAACTACAAAACAGATTTCCATAAAATTTGGTATAGAAGTCTACACAAAACAACATGGGGTAAAATTTATATTAGTTCTTATCTTTTATATACGTTGTCAGTATTATAATCAGGCTATGGGGTAGAAGATAAGAGAATCGGGGTTTGATTCCGAGCAAGGGCAGAAATTTTCTCTTTGCTATTGAGTCCAGAACGGCTCTGAGTGGGCACACAGCCTCCTATCCTATTTGTACCACCGTGGTACCGGGGATTGGTAGTTTCTCTAGCCGCAGTGTGGTGTTCAACTGTCGAAGTGACTGGAGCTCGTCGTCGTTGTCCTGCGATGCGGCCGATGGGTAGTGCAACGGTGCCGCAGTGACGGACTCGACGCGGGAGAGCGCGTCGGCAACAACGTTGTCCTGTCCCGAGATGTGTCAGATGTCAGGCGTGAATTGTGCTATGAAATCCAGGTGATTGAGTTGCCTTGGTGAGCATTTGTCCCGTTTCTGATGGAAGGCGTAGATGATAGATTCGTGGTCTGTGAAAATGCTGAAGTGGCGCGCTTCCACCATATGGCGGAAATGCTTTACGGCCTCATAGATGACCAGCAGGTCGCGGTCATATGCACTGTATTTTTGTTGGACCGTGTTGAGTTTCTTTCAGAATAATGCCAGATTCCAATGATACTGAAGAAGGCCCACCATCAAGGTCAATAGTTAGGTGCTACAGAATTGAGAAACTTCATGCACAACTCAAAACCTATAGAACAAGCCGCATTAGCAGGAAAGGCTCGTAACAGTACAGGAACCACTCCCTTGTACAGAGCTCTAGGTCCTTCTTCTTTCATCAAGACTTTGAAGACATCTCGCATCCCATTAGGAAACGTGCCTTCAGGAGCTGTCTGCAGTCTACTCTTCAGCACATCTGCAGGTAGTGCCACCAGCCAGGTAGATATGCCAGCACTTCCTCCAGCAACGATAGTGCTCAGGGCTCCTATCTCACCACTTTTTGAAAGCTGTGCAAGGATTCTCTGAAATAATTCATATGTCATGAAGTACATGCCTCTCGCTGGCACATCCCTCAGCAAAGTGGCAACGGTTCCCTTATAAATGCTCCTAATGCCTCCTTCTTTATACAGTTGTTTTAGAGCATCAACCGGGCCAGCATATTTGGGAGGAGCAGTACCCCCTGGCTGTATCTGAAGCAGACATTTAATACGTTCTCCTGGTGCTATTATAGAAGCAGTAAAGATTCCCGAGAAGGCCCCAGCAAGAAACAGCTGTGTCAGAGTCAATTCATCATGAGAAGACTTCATTTGCATTCTTTTTCCAATTCCAAACACCATGAAGCTAATTGCAGATATTGGTGCAACTCCTGCAATTGGTGCACCCATTCCTTTATACAACCCCCAAAATCCTTCTCTTTTGATTGTCTTCTTGGTGCAGTCCCATGCCCCTGTATATGCTACAGCTTCACCAGGAGTAGCTTTGGGCATTGTCTGCAGTCTCACCTTGATGGTGTCAAAGGGATGTCCTGCAGCAACCGTACATACTCCACCAAACCCACCACATAACAAATATTTCACAGGATTTACAGAGTTTTTCTCAGACATGCTTATTCAGTTATTTTCAACAACCAAATCAATGTTAACACGGCATTCAACCAGCAGAACGTCAATGTCGATGTATGAAGAGATAATCATTTGTTGAACTGTTCTATAATGTTTGTATAGTTGCACAGTATACACAGACGCACTTCGGCTTAAAGAATTGAAAACTAATAATATAACAATAGTGAACGTTGTATTGAAAAGCAACTCTGAACAGGAGCTCTAAACTCCCACTCGATGTACCTTCCTATATAACCTTGAGTCGGAGCTAGAGAAAACATATCCGTGTCCGTATTGTTGTAGGCGTTGCCTAGCACCGGCTGTTTACTCAGCCGTTGCTAGGCAGCAAATGGTTCCTAGCTTGCGATTGGCTAGCACTCTATCCACTGTGGTGCTTCGCATAGTCACATGTTGTTGTAGACCTTACATAGCAACGACTGTTTACTCGCCATTGTTAAGCAATGATACTTGAGCTGTCACTGTAACGTTTTCTTGAAGGTGGGCAGTTCCCACAGACCCACTATCATCGGATAAGTCGGATTATCTATTGAGGGCTATTGTTTACTTAACCAGCTCAATACTGTGTCTACACCATCTCTGTGTGTGCGTCACCGTCAGATTAGTGACGTAGGTCGTTACGTCATCACTACATGCTACTCATCTTCATGAACATCGCTCATGGAGCTGAGCCTTTCTTGGGACCCGCCAATCGTGCAGCTATTGAAGAACTTCCCAGTATCATGTACTATTCCATCTTTCTAAGATCCATTTTAATATTGTCCACCCCCTACGTCTTGGTCTTCCCAGTTGTCTCTTTCCTTTTGGTTTCCCATCAATATCCTATATGCATTCCTCGTGCTACATGCCCTGCCCACCTCATCTTCCTTGACTTGATCATTCTAATTATACTTGGAGAAGAGTATAAGTTATGAAGCTCCTCATTATGCAGTTTTCTCCAACCTCCTGTCACTTCATCTCTCTTCGGTCCAATATTCTCCTCAATACCCTCAGTCTATGTTCCTCCCTTAAAGTCAGAGACCAAGTTTCAGACCCATGCAAAACCACAGGCAAAGTTATCGCTACACGTTACTCAATTCTAATATCAACGTAAGATACGAACCAAAAATGCCAGCCGTATTAGAGACCTCGTTAAACACACGGAATTTTCCTCCAGTAAGGTTCCCTATTCGCGGAATAACGCACTCTGAGAAATGTCTCTGACGGGCAATACTTGCAGCCTGCTTTACATTTTCCTAGGCTTGTAAGAGACATCACATAACTGAGCCGACTTGTTTGCTGGAGTAAGGTTGAGACTTGCCGGTAACGTTACATTTTCCGTTCTGATATTAAACTCCAAATAAATTTTCAATAGCAATTCAGGAAAGCTGAATCTACGCGAAGTATGCGGCGTACTTCTCTTGTTACTGATACAGACGTAACTTACAAGAAGACACAAGATTTGAAACGTTGAAAAAAAAAGGAACTTTATTGCTTTGTTCATAAACTATAAAACTCTCTCCGGATATTATATATAGATAGAGCGGAGTACTGAGTTAGATGTATGTTCTGCTGTGACGACGGGACCGCCTCTGTTGTCTAGTGGTCAGAGTTCCTGGCTACAGATCCAGAGGTCCCTGGTTCGGTTCCCAGCTCTACCAGATTTTCTGAGAAGTAGTGGGTCTGGAACGGGGTGCACTCAGCCTCGTGAGGATATTTGAGGAGCTATTTCAACAAATAGCGGCTCCGGTCTAGAAAACTGAAATTAACGGCCGTGGCCATTCGTTGCGCTGACCACGCGACACCCTCTATCCGTTAAAGTTGTCATTAACTTCACTGACAAGCGGCGGTCGCTAGGTCGGTATAGTTTTCTTGGGGACTAAAGCCACTGCGTTTGTTTGTTACATCGATGGACCTTGAAAGTGTTTGTGAATGCCTCCTTTTCTGAGAGTTTCCTAAAGCTATGCACTGAAAATTGAAGGAACATTAGTGATGTAGGAGTTATTGGCAAACATAAAAGTTTGAACTGAACCGGAAAACTGTGTAAAATATAGCTATATGTCTAGCAGTGTAGCACGATAAATGAATACATGTTAAATTAAATTAAACGTTCAATAGAACCAAATGAATGCAACCCGGAGCGGGTGTAAAAAGACAATTATTTATGAAAAATAAAAATTTAATTTAATTTCTTCTTTTTTCCAGTTGATGTTAAAAATTGTTATTAATGTACTCAACAAAATCACACATTTTAACTTTTCCGATCATTGTTAAGAGAATATCGATATATTTATTAATTTTAGGTTATTTAACTACAAATGAATAAATACATAGGTGCCCAATTATGAAGAAACGGAACAAATACGTGTATAATCTGTTATATCTATTTCCCGCTTTAACGACATACATTACGAAGGGAAACAGGAGAAGTACTTATCAGTTTTGTAGAAAAACTTGAAGGAAACAAGGCACTGGGAAGACAGACGTAGATGGTATACGAATATTTAAATGGTTTTAGAGAGATTGCAAGAATGAATGAATTCATGTGGCTTAGAACAGGGTCCAGTTGCGGGCTCTTTACAACACAGAAATGAACCTTATGGTTCCACAAGTTATATGAATTTCTTGAATGGTGGAGCAACTGCTGGCTTCTCAAGAAGGTCGTAGTTCGATTATTTAACGAACATGTCGATAACTCTGACAATATGGCGTCGAATGATTGGATGATGGTGAGCAATTAACCGGAGGGAATGTGGAAGGAAATGGTCGTGGCCTAATTTAAGGCACTCTTCTGGGATGTTCCTGGAGGGACTTAGCAAAATTACAAAAATCTGATAGTTAGTGCCCCAGTCGGGATTCGAACAGGAAACCTTCTCGAGTGTCGATATTTAGTGGGTAGGAGCCCTGTTCTATGATCGGGAGGTATCCCAGTTCGATTCCCGCCTCGGAATCGGAGATTCTGAATGGTACTTTGCATGGTTTACTTCAGTCCCTCAAGAGAAATCATGTTACAGTAGAGTAAAACAGGTCACGACCTCTGTCTCTAGAATTGTATTAATTAACTTAATGCGGTAAAAGGTAAGGCTGTCCCTGTGCCTAACTAATTAAGCACTACGCCATGAAGACGTAAGGGGGAGTGGATGTAGAGACCCACGTTTTCTTGAACTTGGCACTAGTTTGAGGTGAGTGGTCAGCTCCATTCGCCGGCAGCTTTACCCCCAGGGAAACAGTCCCTCGGTATCCACTGGATAGGAGGTTGATTGGGCCCCAGAGCCAGTGTGGACGACGTGGGGAAAAGAAAATTATTGACCTTACCGAGACACCAACTCCGACCCCTCGGTCGACCAGCCCGTAGCCAGTCGCTATACCGACTGAGCTATCCCGGCTCCTAACTTATATATCTCTATTTATAAGCTAATAGTTGCTCAGATGGTCAATATATTGCTTGCCCGAAATTTGTCTCGCTATTTGTCACCTGTGTTTATGTGAATTCGATACTGGGCCCTGTTGTGAGCCAGTTGAATCCAGTGCACACCCTCACATCATTCTGCTTCAAGAGCCAGTTTATTATTTTCACCCCATCTGCAACTAGGTCTCTCAAGTGGTCTTTTCACTTCAGGTTTAAGAACTGAAACCACACCTGTATTAACTTCTTGATTATTAGCGTAATTTCCTTATTTAAAAAAGTAGTCCTATGAGATCACCCTTCTGTCTGTGTGTTTGTATGTTACTCCCCTTATCAACTTTTCAATGCCTGAACTAATCATTATGAAACTTCATTATGTGTATTATGGCTTACTTCATAAATCCTGCCCATCAATCTATGTGACTGTATATGTATCTCCGCCATCGTTGCTAGTCAACGGCTCTGTAGACACGTTCCTGGGGTAACGAAGAACCGTTGGAGTCCTCATTTTCCATGAGGTCCATATCGTATCAAAGGGAAATATGTGATTAGTTTTTCCCAGATTTTCTTCATTCTAGGAACTTATGTAACCGAAGTAGTTGACAGAACATCGTTAAATACAATCTAGTACAGCTGCTGGTGAACGATCATGGGAAAGAATTCATCTTGTACCCGTCGTCACTTCGCTTTACGAACAGTATATTGACCGCTGTCCCTTGTGTCGGCTGTGTTTGAAATATGAAACATTCCGAAACTGGACACGGCGATAAACGTTAACTCACACTTACAGGCCCAACTGAGGTGGGTCCCACCCCTCTCCCCCCCCCCCTTCCCTCGGCGCCTGATGCCGGAAACGGATCCAATTTCCGTGACATCTTCTATATGACATATATCTCAGACTTGAATAATAACGGTATCCAATGCAATATTCGTATTGTCACATATATATTTTATGTGACCATAGACGGGGTTTGGATTGATGACTCGGTTTACTGGACACTTATACACACGACTCGGAACTACAAGTAATTGTAACGCTATCACTAATCCATACACTTCACAAATCACCAGAGCACACGCTAAGTTTTCTCGGTTTGTTTTCACTAGTCGTTTCCTGGCAATGGATCTTAACAATTGATCCTTCGTCTTCTGCGCTCACGTCGTTGTTATCCGTCAAATTTCCCGCAACTGAACTGACTCTCAGCTATCAACAATGTCATCTAAGCGCTGACCACATAGAAAACACTGTTCCCATTGTATTCATTGTTGCGTGCGCCGCCATTGGCACGGACCCCGCAGAAAAATGCGCCGCTTTCCAGCCAGTTAATTGGCGCATTGGATGATGTCTAGCAACGGCTGCTGTTTACCGAGCCGTTGTAGTCGCCCATCCCTCAGCCATTGCATAGCAACGGCTATACACGCTACGGTATAATGAGTGAACCGTAGCCACAGACCTTTACAGAGATAGATTTGAGGTTCTTTTGATGGTGACTGTAAACAGCCACCTTCTGGGATATGATCTCATGTGACCCAGTAGAAGGCTAAGTAAGTTTCAGAGAAACGTTCTGCCTCCATCTTCAGGGTAAAAAATTAAGGAAAACGAGCAGACAAACTACTTACTTTATCCCTGAATTTGGAAGCAGTAAGTTATTCCAAAACGTAGGTAATGTTGTACCAGACTACACGGCATTATAGCCCATTAACTGCA